GGGGTAATTGTCTATCTGTACTTGTATTGTTTCTGTGTGTCGAGTGCGACTCAGATGCTGATGTGCAGCCGATAGAAATTTAATCAAGCGATCAAATATATATTTATATATATATATTGGTTTTCTTCCTTGTTCATTTTACTCTTATGGAGGGAAAAATATTGGTGGATTCTTTGTTGTTTTTCTTCTTTCCTGCTGTGGGGCGGCTGGACGGCGCCATTTTCTTTTTTTTCGGTTTTCTTTGCTTTGCTTCTGTGTCTTGCACGTGGCAAGTAAGCGCGTGTGCCTCCCCCGCGCTTGGGGGGACCTCGATGCGATAGGCGTTGGTGCCATGCGTTCGTCCTCGCCGTGTTTGTTTACCAGAGACAGGCTGCTGGAGTTTGCATCCCTGCGGCGAGCGGCGCAGCAGCAGGCGGAACGGCTGGATGAGTCAGGGCGGAAGGGCGGCGCAGAGGCCGCGGTGAACGGCACCAGCGAGCGTGGGATAAGTGGCGCGGCGCCGCCTCCGTGGGTCCGCGCGTTGACGCATTTTGTGGAGCTCGAAAGCACAGTAAACCTCAAGCTTGCGCGACTGCACGAGCAGCAGCGGGAGTTTCTTCAACCAAAGTTTCTCTCCGACGAGGAGGAGGAGGCACAGAGGCAACAGGTCGAAGCGAACGCGCAAAGCATTCAATGCTTGCTTCGGGAACTCGAGCGCATGGTCATCTCTGGCACGCGCCCACAGGACCCAGCCAACGAGGACGAGGTGCAGGCGTCGGAAAACGCCAAGAAGCATCTCTCGTCTCGGCTATCCGCAACTATTCAGTTCTTTCGCGAGGGACAGGAGCTCTACGCCGCACAGCTACGGCGATGTGAAGAGAAGAAACAGCGATACAGACAGATTGGCTCGTGCGAAGCGCATGAACGGATGGAACGGGAGGAAAAGATTGCCCAGTACCTTGAGCTTGGGTATACCCAGCTTGACATTCAAGAACTCCTTGAAGAGGATGCGAGACAGAAGGAAATTAGTCGCGAAGTTCAGGAAATATTGCGAAGTGTAACGGAGTTGCATGCTATGTTTAAGGATTTGGGAACAATGGTGGTGGAGCAGGGGAGCGCCTTGGATCGCGTTGACTTCAATGTGCAGCAGGCGCAACTAGCCGTAAAAGGGGGCGTTGCAGAGTTGAAAAAGGCGCGTGAAAAGCAGGGTGGGTGTTGGGTAATGTGATGTGCGTCATTACATATCAAGGTTGATGCCTTTATTCGTCTCTTTGTGTGTCTGTGTCCTTACGTGTGTGTTGCTTCGCTTTCCCGTTCTGTATAGTTATCCTTGCGTGTCTGCGTTTGCGCGTATTTTTATGCGGTGAATTTTTGCTCACTTAGTTTTGGTTGTTGCTATTATTTGTCTGTCTGTGTGTGTGTGTGCTTTTTTTTTCCATTATCACCTCACTGTTTTGTTGCTGTTGCGCCTTGGGAGAGGGTGGTGGATTTCTCTTGCGGCAGCGGCTCTCCTTGCTGTGGGGACCTTTACTAATGCCGAAACGACTTTTATCTGCTCCATGTGTTTGGATTTTGCCTTGGCTCTTCGTGCACTACTCTGCCCCGGGCCTGAAAACAACACGCACACACACATACAAACACACACTTGCGTAGAAAAAGTTGGTTCACATGCGGTCACTGACGGAGGAGGAGACGAAGAAGCTGTTCGACAAGCTAGCGCAGTATATTGGGCCCAATACAACGCATCTGTTAGAGCGCAAGGGCGAGGAAGAGGAACATGTATTCAGGCTGCACAAGAGCCGCATATGGTACATGCCGCTGCGCCTCGCCAAGCTTGCCAGCTGCGTGGCAAAGTCGAATCTGATGGGTATTGGTGTACTCTTCGCAAAGGTAACCCACAACGGACACATCCGCATTCAGGTGACGGCGCTGGAGTACATTGCCCAGTATTCCCTTTTTAAGGTGTGGGTAAAGCCGAACCAGGAGCAGAAGTTTCTCTACGGCGGTCACGTCACACGCACCGGTCTTGGCCGCATCACGGAGTCGACGCCAAAGTACCAAAAGGTGGCGGTTTTCTCCATGGGGGATGTGCCGCTGGGGTTTGGTGTGGCCGCGCTGGGGACGCTGGAGTGCAGAAAGTGCGAAATGAACAGCACAGTTTTGTTCCATGAGGCGGATGTGGGGGAGTACCTCCGCAACGAGGCAACGCTGACATGAGGGGCCAGCCACACTCTTAACCCTCACCGCCAAGGAGCAAAGCGCGAGGCAAGAGGAATGCGGATAAACAGAAAAGGAATATCAAAGAAACAGAAAATAAAAGAGCAAGTTGGTATACCACCACGCGTGTTGGCAATACATATACGTGTAACCAGTGGCTTTGGATTAGGAAAGGGGGCGAGGTGCTCCTTCCCGTTGTGCAACGCCAGACCTTCTAAGACGAGGTTAAGCTGGCCCAATATGATTTACAAAGCCGGCACAGCGCCAATGTGATGTCCCTTTACCTGCTTTGATTCTGCTTCCTCAAGGTGCCTGTCTTTTTTTTTTGGCTTGTTGTTTCTAACTATGGCCCACGCACCTTCTTCTCTGGCTGGGCGTGTCTTCGTGGTAGATACTAGTAGTGAAGGCGGGGAACTGGTCTGCTAGTTTGAACCAAGCAAAGTGTCTAGACAACTGTGATGTCGGCCGCGACGCAGCACTCCATGGCGCGGCTGCGCACGAAGATGCTCCGTGCCGCGAAAACATTCCCCGACTACAACTTCCGCAATTACTTTGTGCGCCACGTGAAGGACCAGTTTGCGGAGATGGAGCGGTGGACCGTGGAGGAGCAGCGGCGCTTCCTGGCGCAGGAAGGCGCAAATAAACTGTGCGAAATGCGGCGCATGGCGCTTGTCAATCGAATGTTCTCCACAAGTCCGGTGTTTCTTGAAAAACGTGCAGCTCCCCATTGTACTGGTGCCGAACAGCAGACGAAAGAGAGGGAGTAAGTAAAAAAGTAAAAGAAAAACGAAAAGGGAACGAAGAAGCGTGAGATAGGAAGAGTTTCTCTGCAAGTGTTTGTTTATGGCTCGACGTCGTTGCGCGTGCGGGTTATTTTAGTTTCTCTGTTAACTTTGGTCGTCTCTCTCTCTCTCTCTCGACTGCTATTGCTGGATGACGGTAGAAAGGAGGTTTGGTTTACTGAGATATTTACTTCTTTCTTTCTTTTTAACGCATATCACTTTTGTTATAGGGCTCCACGTTTCTTGCTCTACGCGAGCAGAAGTCAAGCTGGCGCTTCACATTCTTTTTGTCGTTTCTCCTTCTCTCACCTCATTGGGGAGGATATGTCTTGGGGTTTCCTTTGCCACGACGGTGTTGCTGCCCTCGCGCACTCCTCTTATGCCTCACGGTGTGTAACCGTGTGTTTGTGTATGTGTGTGTGTTTTTTTTGCTTCGTGCGTTTCTTCTGGAGATTCCGCGTCTTAAGCTGTAGTAAAATTGGGGTGCAGTTGGTGTGATGTCAGTGGCGGGCGGCCTCCTTTTCTCCCTGCGTGAGACGTTGATGTGGAGCGCCGTGTTTGCGCTCTGTGGCGCCGCCGTTGAAGAAGCATACCCCGCGCTCGCGACCGTGGTTTTTGGTCTCGTGGTGAGCCTTACGATGCCAATGAGATTTACGGATATACACCAGATGCTGCTGGCAGATGTGAAAGGGAAGTCCGCCTTGGAGAGGTTCCTTGGAAAGCGGGACGGAAATGAAGAGCAGGCGAAGAAAACATTTCTGCTGCTAACCGCAATCGTGTTGGGGGCGGCCTTTACGCAACTGGACTGGAACGAGTGGTTTCAGGTTTGGCCATATCCTGCTGTGGTCTCCTTCGCTCTTGCGCACGCAGCCCTGCTGCTTTTAGGGCTGCGGCGGAAGGTGTGAATACATGCAGAGGCACGAGCATTGGGAAGAAAGAGGCCATCTGACTCGTGGCAAAGAGGCAACTGGGTGATACTTCCTTGTGGCGCGTGAGGTGGTAATTTCTTATTGTTGTTCTTGCCTTTTGGCGAGTGTTTTTTTTTTTAGGAGGTGTTGCCGTTCCGCTTGGGGGTTGAATGGCGAAAATAGGAGGGAAAGAGGGAAGAGGTGGGGGAACAGTGTGCGCGTTTCTCGGCCTCTCTCTGTTTTTTTTTGTTTTGTTTTTCTCACACAGTCTCCCAGGCCACGTTGCCTGCAGCACAGACAAGTCAGCGAGGCGACGAAAAGAGGGGCCGAAATTTCACTCCCCCCCCCCCCGCCATATTCCCGCCTTAGCCGGGCAGAAGGCGCGGCATTTTTCCTCTTCTTTGCCGTGCCCTCCTCACTCCCCGCGGAGAGCCGGAGGGAGGCGGCAATAGGGGGGATTTGGGGAGGACCACTGGGGGATGGCCACATCCTCCTCCCCGTGGGAGACGCTGACGGCGGAGGAGGTGTCACGGCGCCTTGCCGCGCTCGCCACGCCAGCGTCGTCAGATTTTGAGGTGGGCCGATGCTTTAGTCGTGACGCCGTCTTCTCCACCGGCAGTGCGGCGATCGACCAACTGCTGCCAGACGGCGGGGTGGCCTACGGGACGGTACTGGAGATATTCGGCCCGCCCGCGGCGGGCAAGTCGCAGCTGGTGCAGCGGATGTTGTCCGCCTTCGCTGCGCGAGGGAGTGTGGGGTGGGCGGCGGCCGTGGGGGACGGTGGTGACCGCCCACCGCCCCTGTCGGGGGTGGAGAGGGCTGAGAAGTCGGCGCCTGTGCCGCATGATTGGTCCGTGTTTCTGCTCTTCTCAGACCCGTCATCCGTCAGCCCACGTCGTCTTCATGAGCTGCTAAAAACGTCTCTTGCGTCCGCATTGGCGGACAGCGTGCAATGCGGTAACGACGCGGATGCCCTTTCGCAAATGCTATTGAAGAAGGTGAAACTCTTGCCTTTCACGGCACCGAATGACCTGCTGATCTTCTTCCGCTTTCTCGGCCGTGTGGAATATGTCGCGTCGCGCCACCATGAAAATAGACGTCGTGTGTTGGTTGTGGTAGATAACGTGGCACGTCTCTGGGACCATCCCACGTGCGGGACGACGAATCACGCACGACATTGGATGGCGGCCGCGCTTGTACGGGAGGTGCGCAATGCAATTCTGATTGGCAATGGCTGGAGGAGTGCGGCAAACTGCGATCTGGATGAGTGTGGGCGTCGTCATTGTCTGCAGGACGCGGGTGTCAGCGGTCAAGCCATTTCTGCCGCTCCCCGCGGAGGGAGTGTGGCGGTGGTTTTTGTGAATGGATGCACAAGCGTGTACCAACAACACTCGGCAACGGCCACAGCGCTGCCACCAAAGCCATTGGGTGTTCCTGTGTGGTGGGCGGCTGCCGCCGATGTCCGTCTATTTGTGGAGCCTCTCGCTAATGCGGATGTGTTCCTGCAGCATGGGAAGAGCACCAGTGATATGTGTGGCACGCAACAGAGCGGGCGTGCTGCAAGGTCAACGATGCGAGTCCGTCTAGTGAAAGGTGGTCGCACTGCTGGTGCTGAAACCACGGCGGTGTGAGGCGTGTCACCGATAGCTCCCCTCCCGTTGGGGATTGCGCCGGGCAGAACTCAAATCTAAAAACGTTTCTTCTGCCTTACCGTCACTTATTCTCGTTTGTGCTTCTGCGTCTTTCCGTCCCTCTTTGCTTTGGAATTCATTTGTTGTTTCCACCACCGCCTCCTCCACCTGCCGCCTTTTGGTTTGCTTGTGGGCTTGTTTCTTTGGCTTCCCCACACTGCCCCCTGCTGAGGACCGGCAACCCCTGCGTCCAGCCGTGCTTGCATTCTTTTTTTCCTCATTTCCTACTCTTCAAAATATATATATATTGGCTCTCTGCATTGACTGCGTACGTGCAGGAAACCCCGACTGCAGTGCGCGCCGGAGTCGAATGCCCACCATCGTCATTGATGGCTTGACCATTCGTCTTGCCTCCGAATTGCAGAACACGTTCAACCCCCGTCACGCCTTTGGACGCGTGGAACGGGGCGGCTCGCTGGCACTGCGAGAGGCGCCCAGCGGACATCTGCTGCTGCCGTTTGACGCGGAGGGAAATGTTCTTGTCACGCCGGGCCTTCGCTATCAACTTGTTCTTGTGACGGAGCGAAAGTCTGCTGCGGAGCTCACCGACAAATCGCTCCTGCAGGAGCGGCAGCAGCAGCGACATGACCCAAAGCAGCCGCACAAGGACGTGCAAGCGGCGGCGGTAACAGCAATGGAGCCAACCGCAGTGAAGCCAACTGCAGCAGCTAATGGCAACCACGCGGAGGGCAAGGAAAAGGCGGAGGAGGCGGTGAAAGAGCCAAATATAGGCCAGGAACAGAAACGGCGGGGGCGGAAAAACCGGCACAAGACTCCAGCCTCTACGGAGGAACTGAGTGACGCACCGCAGCAAAAGAGGGAGAGGAAGGAAACTCCGCGCAATGACCCCAGTGAGACAGACGATGGTGTCCCGCTTTACCTCACAGTTGGAAGCAAACAGCCCTCTGGCGCGGGCGCCACCGACGCCCCCTCTGCCTTGGCTGCGCGTTCTGGCTCGCCGGCGTCGTCCCACGCGGTAGTTGACAAGTCGCCTAAGAATCGTGCAGCCACGCTGGGGGGGCCCAGCACCTCTGATTCCGATGATGATGAGAACGTCCCGCTTTCGAAGTCCTACGCAAAACAGCAAAAAAGGCATGAGCAGCGGGCCGTTGCACCCACGGTAGCCGCTGTGTCTGCCACCAGCGCCGAGAAGCCGCCAATCCGCCGGCAAGCCAAGCCGCCCCGTCGGGCTCCCGTGGCAACGCCCAGCACGAGTGAATCTGATTGATTTTTCCCTCTGTTACTAGCCGATGAGAAAAATGAGAAGTAAAAGAGAAAGAAGAAAAAACGATTAAGAGAATGGACAAGGAACAATATTTATGCACATGCGTACATTCGTGGTGGCCAGTGTTTTTTTTTAACTTTTTATTGTAACGAAAGGCACATTGTGGTCTCTTTTTCGTCTGTGTGCATGTGTGTGTGTCTGTGTAGGAGAAGGACGACGGGGGCAAAGCAAGAAGTTATACACGTTTCATAAGTAATCGCGCAAATGGGTAGTATTATTATTATTTATTTTCGTTGCTCTGAGGCAAGAAAAGAAAAAGCGCAAAAGGCACAGACGATGTTTCTGTAAAAAGGAGGCGGTGGGGACTGGAAGAAAGCGGCGGTGTGTGTGTGTTGAAACATCATCTTACCCTGGCTCTTTATGTGGCGGGCCCGTGCTGAGCGGCAGTGGTTGGATGTCTATTTGTGCGTGTGTTCCCCTTATCTGGTGCGCCTCATATTTCCAGCGGTGCGCTCCCGCGCCTCTCCTCCCGGCGAGTCTCTGCTCTCGTGCCGCTGGGAATTGTTGTAACTTGTCCCCGCCACCATCGCCACATTCCCTGTTCTGCTCGGCGAAAGAACTAACGGACCGACTGTGCGGAGGGCAATTCAAGTGCGGGAGTGTTGTTGTGTCGTCTGCTGAGCGGCGGCGGCTGCGTCTCCACCCGCCCTATTTCCCTCTTGGCTCCTACTTCCTCTTCTCTGCGTCTCGCGGGTGCGGTGGCGCAGCAACCAGCGCTTTTTTTTTCTTTTGAAGGGAACGGAAAGGGGGAGGAGTGGAAACAAAAACAAAAAAGGCAGGGAAAAAGCCAGGAACACCTCGGTTCGAAGGATCAGCGAAGCAAAAGAGAAAAAAAACAAAAAAAACAGGTATTACCCGCCGCAGCGAGCAGCACTACATAAGCCACAAGGAAAATAAGGCGGAGCAGGGAGGTATAACCGAGCGGGGGAGAGATTTACTTGTCTACTTTACTCTCTATCGATCTCTCTATCTCACTATTTTTCAGACGCGCCTATCCTCCGCGTGTAATTGAAGCAGCAGCGACAGTGCAGCACCTGCGGTTATCATGAGTCAGCAGATCCGGAATCTGTCGGAGCTGCAGGAGGAGGTGAACTCGTTGGATAGTCGCTACGTATTGGAGAAAGTAATTGGTGCTGGATCATATGGAATAGTGATACGTGCGAGGGACACTCTCAATGACAACGAGCTTGTGGCGATTAAGCGTGTTAACAAGGAGATATTTGAGGAGATGATTCTGGCGAAACGCGTACTGCGTGAGATTAAGTTGCTTTCATTTTTCAATGATGAGAATATCATTGCGCTCCGAAATATCCTCACCCCACTTGACAGTGACAGTTTTGATCACTTCTACATTGTCATGGAAATCATGGAGACGGACCTGAAACAGGTTTTACGCACCGGCCAGGAGCTAACGGAGGCCCATGTTCAGTTCTTTATTTACCAAATCCTGCATGCGTTGAAGGTAATTCATTCCGCGGGCGTCATTCACCGCGACATAACTCCGGCGAACATTCTAGTGAACCAAAACTGTGACTTGAAGATATGTGACTTTGGTCTTGCAAAGGAGGAAAGTGATCACGGAGAAAATATGACGGATTATGTGACAATGCGCTGGTACCGCGCACCGGAGCTCGTGATGGAGGACAAAAACTACTCGACACAAATTGATGTCTGGGGCGTAGGAAGTATCCTTGGCGAACTGCTTGGCTCACGGCCGCTGTTTCAAGGCAAAGACCGTGTGCGGCAGCTTGACAAGATCATTGAAGTGATTGGTACCCCGTCAGAGGAAGATATAAAATCTATCGGTTCTTTACCAGCCCAGAAGTACCTACGTAAAAAGGAGCAGCGCACCCCGCTAGACTGGCGCGTGAAGTACCCGAGGGCGTCCGAAAATGCCCTCGATTTGCTGCAGCGCATGCTCGTCTTTCATCCTGATAAACGCATTACCGTGGACGAGGCCCTCCGGCATCCATTCCTGGGGGAACTCTACGATGAACAATATGAGACTATCGACATACCCTTTTTCAGCTTTGACGAGCATGAACAGAAAACTGTGAATGATGTGAAAAGGGCGGTGTATGAGGAAAGTGTGAGGTTCCACGAAAAATACCCCAAGACGGCGCCGCGCAATCTACAGTTACAGCAGCAACAACAACAGCAAGGCGGCTCTATCCTTCCGTCTATGGGTGTCACCGGGGAAGGCCGCTCTGCTCAGAGGACGATTGAAGGAAATGACGTAGATGATGTAGACAATGGCCGGTTTGACGAGGTGGTGGAGGCGTCTTAGAGTCAGTCGTAGGAACGAGATAGGGGTCCTAAAATGTGGGGCTGTTTTGTTTTGTTTTAAAGAGAAGGAAAGAGAACAAAAGAAAAGAAAAAAAAATAAGGAAAAACAAAACACGTGGAAGAGTCAAACCAACGTGGGCCTCAAGAAACGGGAAATAACGCGAAGAAGGCAGTGGGGAGGAGGGGGTTAAAGCAGACCCAAAAGAGCCATGACGGTAAAGAAGGAGGCGTGGGCTTGTCTATAGGAAGATATCGATGAACAACTGGAGGAAGCGACGCGGACTAGATGAGGGCAGAGAGAAAGAAAACGTGCAGGGCTTGCTTTTTCCAGGAACTGAATGCATTGATGGAAACTTTTTTATTCCTCTCCTCCTCCTCTCGTTTCTTTTTTTTGGTTTGTTTTTCTTTTTGGCTGAGTTTTCATGTAACTTCTTCTTCCCCCCTCTCTCTCTCTCTCTCTCATTTTTATTGGTCCTTTTCCTTCGTTTTACCCGTTGTTGCGTTTGGCGGTTACAACTTTTGTTTTCCTTGATTTTTTTTTGGGATTTGTTTCCTATCTGCCGCCCCCTCTGCGTGTTTTTTGTCCCCTGCGCCTCAAAGTGTGTGCGACTGCTGCTCCCAGGAATGGTTTGCGTTTGCTGCTTTTGGTGCAACTTTCTGAAGGAATAAAGGGGAGAAAAGAAAGGGGAGGGGGTGGAAGGTTGCGCCTATGGGGTGGGAAAGGAGGTGATTGAATCTTTCTCTTCATTCCTTCTTCCGCGTGTGTGTTCCTATTGCTAGGGAACGTGCGACTCCAGCCCAAGAAAATCATGGACCATGTCTTTTTTGAATGGATCTTCTTTTCTCTTCTTCCCTCCATGTAGCTGCTTGTCTTCGCCTTCTCAACCGCCAGAGTGTACATGTGGTGCTCCGCAGGTGAAGTATTTCGTGGCTCGCATCTCGTGATCTTTTTTTTTGTTCGTGTGCATGTTTGCTCTCCTCTTTTCATCACTCCTCCTTTTTTTTCCATCACTTTTGTTTCTTTTTTTCTTTCACCTGCAACGTTGGTTTGCTATCTTTTTTTGGGGTGTGGGGGTGGGACGCGTGCGCCTCTTGCGGCCAGTGTGCGTGCGTGACGGGTGAACCGCCAGCCAGTCACACTTCCACTTCTTCATTGAGTGGGTGAGAGTGACCGGGTAACTCACGCAGGGGAGATAGGGGGGTGGGGCTGGAATAATAAGAAGGAACTTGGCGCATCCTTCTCTCGGGCGATGGTCTGCCGTTGGGCTGGCTGTCGCTTCGCGCTTCTGCAGAAGAAGCAGACTGCGGCTGGCTACATGGCGAGCGCGGGTAAAATTGGGAGTGAGGAGAAGTGGGCACAGGCGGCGATGGAGTACCTGCACGAAAAGAGACTGTGTAACGACAGTCGAAAAAGGCAGCACGATGTGGATAACGAGCGCCGTGTCGCGTTTGCGTTCGACCGATACTGTGCCGTTAATGAGAAAATCTTTGCCGATCGCATGTCTCGTCTTTCCGCACGCATGACGGAGGCTCTGGAAGCGATGGCGGAGCTTGGCATGGAGGAGGCGCGTGAGGAGGCGCTGCTGCTGTCCTCTGAGCAGCCCCCTGGTAACTACCGCCGTCCCTCCTTGACACCGCCTGTTCCCGGGTATGAGCCGGGGTACGGGCTGGATGTGCCGCAGCTTTGCTCCCAGCAGGCGGAGTACCCTCCAGTTGTTCGCCCCACAGACGCGTTGGAATTCGGTGCAGACGCAGACCCCTCGTTTCCGTTTGTGGACGCGTACCGTGTGGAGGACCTGACGGCGCTCTGTGCGCGGGAGCTGGAGGAGCGGCATGGCGAGATACGCGAGGCCGCCCCGTTGACAGGGGTTGAGGGCGAGGCGTGGGAGGCGTATGTGGCGCTGCAGAAGAAGGCCCTCGCACGGCAGCAACTCATTTTTGACCTCTGCAATAACCCAGAGCTCCGGGAACAGTATGATGCAGATCCCGAATTTAGGAAGCGGCAGTGGGCAGAGCGTGGCATGCTGCCGCTTGAGATTGACGAGGAAGAGCCACGGGAGGTGGAGCGTCACTACGCACAGGAACCCGCGTATCATGCGTTTAGAAAACTCTGAGATACAGAAGAAGAAAGAAAAAATACTTTGCAGTGGCGTAAAGTACTGGGGTGAGGTTGGCTTCTCGTTGCTGGGGGCATGCGAATGCCACTCCCAGCGTGTGTGTCTTTATCTCCCAAAGTTTCTTTTTCCTCGCCCCACATAATCGCTTTATTTTTTATTTTTTTTATTTTTTTTATAAATGCGCTTTTGCTGCTCGTGTCCTCACGGAGTCGTCGTGGAAGTTACCACGTATCTGAGAAGAGAGAAGCGGTGAGGGAGACGCCTGGCCGCTCTCGTGCATCATCGTCATACACGTAAATAACAATTAACGAGACAGGGAAATACACGCACACACAAAGTGTGAGAGAGAGAGAGAGGGAGTAAAGCAAATATATATATATATATTAGACTTATACGCACACACATTAACGGGTAATAGAAATTAGTAGTGAGCGTGGCACATGGGTGTTCGAGCTGCGGACGATAATGCGGGGCCTGACACCTTGTCGAACTCACAGAGCACTTTGGTTGAGCTTACTGGTGAGACTCACACGGCGACAACCGACCGGCCCTGGGGATTTCTGCTTTCAGATAAACATCGCGTGCTGTGCCTCTCCAACAAGCGGCAGATCACGTGTGGGAGGTCTCCGAAGTGTGACGTTGTCGTGAACGATCCCCGCGTCAGTGCGCTCCACTTCACCATCACTCTCCACGTCGAGGTGAGTGTGCCTTCGCCTGGCAGGGTATGTCAGGATTATCACCCGGGCTTTTCAACCCGTCAATGCACGCCTTCTGGAATTGCAATAACGACGGGGTCAACTTCAGTGGGTGCGCATAACAATTCCTGTCCCACTCGAGAGACGAGCGGTGGGGCGCATCCCACGCGGATGCCACGCCACTCTGTGCCAGAGGTGCGGATCTATCTAGAGGACCATAGCGCCAACGGGACGTATGTGAATGACACCAAGGTGGGAAAAGGCCGACGCTGTCAGCTCCAAAGCGGAGATGATATTGGTGTCGTGGCGTGCCATTTCACCACATTGGGTGATGGCGGAGAGGCTGGCGAAGCTGGAAACACCACGGCCTCTTCGTCGCTGGTTGCTCTGGATGCGCCCACCATGTCGTCAACGCTGTCCCCAAGTACATTGTATGTTGAGAAATTTTGCTTCCATGCTTACCAGCTCTCCGACGAAGACGACGCGAACTTGGAGGCGGAAGAATGGCAGAGTGCACAACTGGGAACAGGTGCCGGAAGATGTCCGCGATCGCTTAGGCAATCCGTCAAGGCGCCGTCTATTTCCCTTCGTTTACAATGGGGCCATCCTATTGCGCATGGTTCAAGCAGTGTGGTGTACGCCGGCATGGATGTGGACACTGGTAGAAGGTTGGCGTTGAAGGTACTCCATGATGATGGTTTCTCACCCTCGACTAGCCCTTATTCTTCGAAGGATACGGATGGAACCTCCTGGAAATCGTTGCTGAGGCAAACAAAAGCCTCGTGTCAAGCACCTTCTATAACGTGTGATAAACGAACTCAAGAGAGCTGTCATGGACGTTTTGCTTGGCCGGAAGAATATTTGCGCGAATTCTACTTTCTTACGTACCTTGCCCACCATCGCATTGTGGAATGCCTTGGAGTGAAAAAAGTCCATCGTGGCATATGCATTATTTTGGAGCACGTTGCAGGTGGCACCTTGCAGGAGCTTATCAAAAAATTTGGGGCCTTTAACGAAAATGTAATACGCCTCTATACACTCCAGGTACTGCAAGGTATGGAGTACCTGCAAGGACGCAGTGTGGTTCATGGGGATCTTAAGAGTGCCAATGTACTCGTGACGGAGAAGGGGGGCCTTAAGATTACCGACTTTGGGACAAGTAGGTTTGTTCAAACGATATATCTCGCGGATGCGGAGCAGGGCAAACTTTCAAGTGGGGACTCTGGTCGTTTCATTGAAGTTACTGAGAGGAAGCTTTGTGGGACACCCATATACATGAGTCCAGAACTTATTGCTACACAGGAGTCCACTTTCGCCTCAGACGTGTGGGCTTTGGGGTGCATGGTGTACGAAATGGCAATGGGCGTCCCGCCATGGGAAGAATTGCATGGCTTGCCCCCACACACCGTGGTATGGCGAATAGGTGGAGCCGAAAGGGGACCAAGTTTAGAGCGTCTGCGTCAGCGTGGGGCAAGTTCGGCTCTGCTCAATCTTATTGAGTGTGCCTTTCACCTAGACCCTGCCCAGCGTCTGTCGGTGACAGAGCTGCTGAAGCACCCTTTTATTTTGGGGCAGGAGCATGTTGTTCGTTCGCAGCCGCTCCCAACGCTTTCTCCCTCATCGTTAGAGTGGAGTCCGCTGATGAACTCTTCGCAGGTGCGGATGCAGTTGCCAAATGCTATTTTGGGCACTTCCGTCGCTGGGGGAAAACTAATGCACGCTGCTGAGGAGGCCAGGCATGATCATGGAATGGTGTTGGACGGCGACTCCGGTGGTACGCCGCAGCAGGAATTGGTACAGATGTCGCCGGAGTTGGGACCCGCAGCAGCGGCAGAAATGGTGCCGGTTAAGCCTGTTCGTCGCACCTCACGCTCGATGCATTCCCCCGGAGCCGAGGGGCACCATGCCTTCATGTGCGAGTTGAGTTGCCATAACAGGTTTGAAAGGTTGGATTTTTTGGAAGCGAAAAAAAGAAAGAGTCCGTCGAACAGGGATGCGGCATCGTTGCGGTCCCTGCGGCGACGCCTAGAAGGCACACACCTCTCGCGGCGAAGAAGCGGCAGCCACAGCTCCACGGAAAACGTGGATGCCGTCAGTCCGGGTGATAACCGCCTCAGCACCCTTGCCGCCAGCGCATCCCACGGCATCACAGCGGAGTTTTCAGGGATGACGGCGCTATTTAAAGAGTAAATGGTGCATTATCCTCTAGCTCCTTCTTCCACCAACTTCTCCCCATTTTTTTTGTCCCTCTCTTTTATTCTCGTAAATATTTTTCCCTCGGCATCAAAACACAGACGCACACACATAGACGAGCGTTTTTTTGTTTTTGTTTTTGTTGCTGTTCAATTTATTTTATTTTGTTGTTTCGCTTTTATCTTAAAATTTGTGTTTTTATTTTTCGCAAAGATAAATAAAAGTTTTCCGCTTCACATCGTTTGCATATATGTGTGCGTGTGAGTGTTTCTGTCACGAGAATAGTTCCTCCATCATGTGTGAGTCGCAATTGCTGTTCGTTCCTGCCGTGAGGCAAAATATTTCCTTTTGTTGTTCTCGCTTCTACTTTTCTGCGGCGTCGCCGTTACTGACCACGCGTCTTCCTTTTCTTATCTTTCTTCCCCCCTGTTGCGTTAACGTCCTCTGTCTTGTCATGCGGCCAGGAAACGCGGGAAGAGTGTGGGCGGCCAGTCTAATTTACGCACGCGGCATTTATTCTCATCCGCCCCTGCAGCCCTCGGTACTCGCCGTTGTTTCACCGTGTCCTGCCGGTTGAGTGAAGGAAGGCCCACGTCTTTGTTAGCCGCGGTTGTTGTCTTCACCTCCCTCCTCCCCACGAGGGCATCGTCGGCCGGGCCGCCCGATTCCCCCTCCTGTATGCGGTTCTGTGGAGCGGTGTAGACTTTGTAAGTTAATTTGTTTTAACAAGTGTAAATTGAATTTAAAAAGTAGCTCGCAAGCAGGTTTAGTCACATTACTTTTCGTGTGTGTGTTTTTATTAAAGGAAAATAAAAATAATGGGTCGGGACGGAGTGTTTGGGAGTGCACTTATTCTCGCCGTCACGACGATTGGTGCTGGCATCCTCACACTGCCATCCGCCTTTTCAGACGCCGGTGTCTTGCTGGCGCTGACTGTGCTAATTTTTGTTGCCCTTCTCACAGTTGCCTCCATAGATTACTTGGTGCTCTGCATTGAGAAGCTCGGGGTGAACTCGTACGAGCAGATCAATCGGGAGCTGTTGGGCAGGTTCAATGAGGAGTTTGTGCGGTGGATGTTGCTCGTTTACAATACGGGCTCCGCTATCAGCTACCTGGTGGTTCTTGGCGAACTCATTGAGCCGCTACAGCCCGCCATATCGCATCACTTTCCTTGGCTTCTCACGACGAAACACACGCTTTTTGTTTTCTGGTTCCTGGTTGTTCTCCCCTTGTCATGCGTGCCGGCCATTTCATTTTTGCGTAGTGCATCCTTTCTGGCCATTGCTGCGACGTGTTTTATCTCGTGTCTCGTGGTGTTACGATATTTTGTACCCAACGAAGGCGGTACTTACGTCGCCGACAGTGCGGGGGCGCCTCAGTCGGGGAAAGAGGCCTCGGATAGTGTTAGCTGGTTCTCCGGTAAACAGCCATTACTGGCGTTACCCATCATGATGTTTTCCTTTGACTGTCAATCACTTGTGTTTCAGGTCTACTCCGCTTTGCAAGTGATGAGCCGGTGGAATATGATGCGTGTCTCCATCATTAGTCTCATTATCTCGGCCACGATCCATGCCGCAGTGGGAATGTTCGGTTACCTTGGCCACCCAACCGATGTTCGTGAGAATGTCATGAGCAACTTTGATCCTAGAACGGACCCTTTGTTTGCGATTGGCTACGCTGTGTATGTGATTCCAGTGAATCTGGCGTTTGTGATTATTCTCTTTCCTACACGCGATGCTGTTTTTCTGATGTGGTACGGTTACAGCTCTGCCACCGAGGCGGTAGATAAGGGGTACGTCATGGACGGATGTGTGGAGGAGTACGATGCGAGTCGCCACCGCATCCCCATGCGTGATCACCTTATCGTTAGCGTCTCGCTCTCTGTTATGTGCATCACAGCCGCCCTCTTGGTGCCGGGTGTCGTCTCCGTGGTGGCGTTGTTGGGGGCCGTGTGTAGTAGCAGTTTGTGCTTCACCTACCCCGCGCTTTACCGCCTTCGGCTACACAAAACCGGCATTCTGCCTTATTCAAAGTATTGGGAGCGCCCGTTGATGCTGCTGATGTTGAGCTTTGGTGTTGTTGGTGGCGCGCTTGGGACCATTGTGGCGGCAAAAGAATTTATGTAGTGTTTCCGCGCTCTTTATTTTGTTTGTGGTTCTTTCTGTTGGCTTTGTCTCCCGTGGTTGGTATCGGGGTATAGTTTTTTTTCTTTTGTTTTGAGGACATGTAGCTCTCCATGCACGCTTGCACGTTCACTTCTGCCAGTGGATCGTAACAATTGGGCCACGCGCTTGTCTAGGCGTGTGTTTGCATAAATTTGTATTTCCTTATATCAATGTGTGGGCGTGTGTGCGTGTGTGTGTGTGTCAGGCGTCCGACGGAGAAGAAAATTAAACAGAGGCGAAGCGCAAGTCGTATGGGTGGATACAAATAAAAGGGCACTCGGTCGTTTCTGCGGGGTTGGGCTTGGGTGAGAGGCGGCGGAAGCGGAGGAGCGGATGAGGCCTTTTCCGCCCTTGCGAGTTCAATCGTGTGGAGTCACAATGCTCCCATTTTGTTCTTTGTATTCTGTGTGTTTTTGGGCGCCACTCCTGCACATCATCGAAGATGGATGAAGTGAAGGGCGCGTCCTGGTGCAGGCACGTATATGTGAAAGAAAGATAGAAAGAGAAAATGGTTAGGAAAGACGTACAGCCACTCTTTCAAATTAAGTAGGTCCTCCTTTGTGTGTGTCTGGAATATACATGCATATATGCACACACGCACGCACGTGTTTATACTCCTGGGGGGTGCTTGCACAACTGTATCTGTTTGTTCCTGTGTGACTCCTTACCTGCCTCCGTGGTCTCGATGAATGACTATCTTTCTTTCTTGTATTTTTTTTTATTTTGCCTGCTTGCTTTGCTGCAGCTCCTGAATCTGTGTGGGCGCGGCCTCTCTCTCTCTCTCTCTCTCTCTCTCTGTGGCAGTTTCTGGCGAGCCGTCTGCATCCCCGTATTCCATCTGGTGGAGGCGCAGAGGCGGTGACTCGCATAATATATCGGTTCCTTCCAGCTGGAGGGTGGCAGTGAGGGCTGCCGTGGGCCGTTGGCCGGGCGAGCTGTGGAGGTATGCGTGGCGAAGTCGAGGAAACAGCAAGAAACACACTCCACGCAATGGCCGGCAACACACATGTCTCGCACTGCGTGACGGAAAGTCAGGGCGGCAGTGCCGCGAATTCCTCGAGTTCGAAGGGGGGGATCCTGCGGTCGACGCTCACAGGGCCTCAAAACCCCTTATCTCCACCGGCAGCCGCCGTGGAACTGCTGGAGGATGTGGCGATGCCAACCGCAAAGATGGAGATGCAGGAAATAAATCGCATTTTATGCGGACACGACGTGGAGTGCGTGCCCCGCTTGCGCCCGTCATCGAGCTGTCAAACGCCTGTGCCACACAGCTACACTGGCTTAGTCCAACTGCTTCCGGCAGAGATTCTCTTCGGCGTCATGACGTTTTTAGATGCCAGAAGCCTGTTCCAATGTAGAGCTGTTTGTCGCTCGTTCAACAATGCGTTGCTGTCTCACGGTGTTCAGCTCCCCACTTCATCCTTGACTCGCGCTGTGTTGGACACCACAGTTGGAACCGACACGTTAACCGGGGTGGTGCGTCGCCGTGAGGCAAGGCTTCGGCAGAGTGAGCGAGCCTGGGCGCTCTGGATGACGCACTACTTGACGGCCAGACTTGGGCAGAAGGTGGATAGGAAGGCTTTTAACAAACTGTGCTTCGAGGGCAAGGCCCAAACGGCGCAGCTGCGTTGCGCACAAAGGTCCGCTCGCCGCGCCACCGAGGAGTGGCTGGGGCACCAGTCCGATTGCTGTCGCGTGCAACATAATATACGCCGTAACTGGTTTAACGTCGCGTCTCTAAGTTGCACAGGGGCTGTGGGAGTTTCCCCTGTTATTCTACCCGACGGAACGTTATGCATTAACGATCCCGTCGACACCATCCTTCTTTATGCTCGACGGGATCGCGACATGCTTCCATGCTTCACGCGACACGCCAAACAGGTATTACCTTCAAGAGCAGTTGAGGCGCGTCGAGACCTTTGGGCTGCCTTTGATAAGGTTACTTTTTCATCGGCGGTGTCTCTTTTGCATTATGACCCGTGCACGGAGGCTCTTATAGTGGGACTTGAAAAAAGCGAAGTGGTGCTTTTACGGGTATCCAGCGCTGTAGTGATCGGTCTTGAAAGACGCCTGGAAGTGGGGCTGGAGCACGGGAAGCCACACTCACGGCCGGGACGGCGAGTGCTTCGCTCCCCCACAGGCAACATCCAGGAAAGTGTCACGGTGTTGGCGCACCACCGCACCACAGAGGACACCCGGGGAAGTTTTGTCCCGATAGACGTGGACACCGTGGGTCTTCCAGACTACGAGTGGAGCCTGGCTGAAATGACGGCCGTCACGCAAAAGCACGGCATTGATGTCGATTTGAGCCGTGTCATTGTCGTTCGACGCGAAGAGGACGCTGCCGCCTCGCTGATATCCACCCGTCCATGTCCAGGCGTGTGCCTCACTTCGGAGGATATGTTAGAAATTACCGCGCTACGCCACGCATTGGCTGCTGGCGATCATAATTTCGGCAACAATGCACAGGGCGAGACGGCTCAGCGCGGCAATTTTCCAGCTGCTCCCGCCGCCGTTGGCGCGGACGCCGGTGCCGAGTCTGGGATGCCGGGCTCTGTGGTGGTTACCTCGGCTGTTGAATCCGCTGACGCACACACTAGCGGGAGAACGACGCTGTCCATCAACACAACATGGGAGGGAAGCTCGATAATGAGGATGGGCACGAATGACACGGCCGACACTAAGCACGTCATGGAAAAGTGCGTGTTTGCCGTCTTCAACGAGCAGGCAGCCCTGACATCTGTGGTGGCGCGTACGGCTGAGGCGGGTGTATTTGCTCTTGGCCCAAACGCCTGCACACCTCTTGGTGTAAACTACTCAGGTGATGTTAAAAAGGCATATGTGCTTCAAGCTCCCGTGTTTCGACGTCGAGAAACGCCTCCGATAGAAAGCATGGACGAGGGTGAGGCAACAATTGCCTATTTGATGGCAAGTGGAATTCTCATTTGTCAGAAGTCGATTATTCGCGATGTAAAAGAGGCGGTAAAGTGTGTCTGGAGTGGGTCCAGTCTTGCCAACAGTAGGAAGGACAGGAATCGCGGCGAGAAGTCTCGGAAGGCTTGCACAACGCATTTGCGCCGGTGTGCGTGGTACTTTCTGAGGGGTTATAGTTATAGCTCCCCTTCGCGGGAGATGACAGTACTGCGGGAAATATCGTCCCCTTTACTATTGGCCTTTGTCAGTCCACGCCCCTGGCCTCAGCAGCACGTGATGGCGCTGGCGAACTGGCGCCATGAGGACAGTAAAACGGGACAACAAAAGCAACACCAAGAGAAAAAGAAGCCACCAAACATGCGTTACTGGTGGTCCCCATTCCGAGATGGGCACCCCTACTTCCGTAAACCCTTTATGTTATATGTGGCGATGTACGTGCCTCTCCTTGCCTTTCAGCGCCAGGAAGCCGGTTCCTCTCGACAGGAACTTCCGCTGGAAGGGCAGCCGCGGTTTCAGGAGGTAGAAATTATAGAAGACATGTCTCAGATGGGATTAGGCGTCTTCTCAGTGGCCCTCTCACCGACGCACGCCTTCTTCCTGCTAGGAATGGTGAATGGTGCAATCCTCCTCCTCTCCCCATCCTGCACTGGCATTCGTGACGAGGCGCCGCAAGCGCGCTCTCCCGCCGCAGAGCAGCTTCCCTCGCAACCGGCGGACGAGCCCACTCGTGCGGTATCTGTCGGTGTTACGAGGCGAGGGGTTTCGAGTGCGCGGGGAAATGCGCTGCCGCAGGGTGCGGAGAACGGGGACGAAGACGAAGACGAAGGCGAGGAAGAGGAGGAGGAGGATGGGGAGGATGTCGCGTTCACCATGCCGCGTCTACCACGGGCGCCCTTGAACCATTTGTATCGGACCACATTACCTGAAACAGTGGAGGAAATCGTACGGCAGCGCCGTCGACGTCAGCCGCATCTCCGCTCTTTTACAGCTACACAAATGTTTGGTGATGGCTTCCGTGAAGATCCATTCATTCAAGAAGTACAGCGCGGCACGAAGTCTGTCTTGGCTCCCATGGTGGGTGAGAATTCGCCAGCAAACAAAATGCCACTTCACGCGGTGTGGATCCTCGCACCGCGCGAAAATAGCCATCTCTTTGGCGGAGCAGCTGTACGGAGCATGCACCTGGACGAATGGAAACTCACAACACTTAGTATGTCGTTTGAGATTGCCGTGTACGATCTCACACCAGAAACGAGAAGTGGCCAGACGGGGATGTTGGTTGTGCCGCTCTTGACGCTGAGCCCGTACAAACGCCATCCTTTCGCTGGGCTTCCCAGACCGAAGGAGGAGTTCTGGTTCTGTGCAAAACTACGCCAAATGATACTGGTTGGTTCTAAACGTGGACTTATTGGGTCAGAGATGATGTGGCGCAATGGCCTGCTACTCGTTTCCAGCCAGTTGGGAGGAAAGAGATGCACCATTTTTGATTTTAGTCTCGCGTTTCGTGATCCGGAGAAAAAAGGCGAGGGCGCACCGGTGGCGTACTCGACCACCCGAAGAGAGTACCACCGATGCACTTCTGGTGTGACGCTGTTAATCCCGGCAGGCGAGAACGGTGCGGTTTACTTTCCGCGTCACTACCCACTGCTGCTGCGATGGGAATTTTTGTTTCTTATCATGGCTGTGGTGCGATCCTTCACTACGTTCTGCGCAAGTCTCGCCACTGCATTGCTGATGTTGCGCATCGATGAATACATCGCCATACCGTATTGGAGTATTCTGCTTCTGTACTCTCCTTTTGCTCTGAACTTTCTACTGAGCGACACTCTTTTGTACGACCCCTACTCTGCAAAGGGTTGTGGAGTGCCGTTTTACTCCCATGTTGTCTCAGATGTGCTTGTGCTTGTGGTGTTTCCTGTCCTCTTCACCGTTAGGCACGACGCGTACGACAAATTTCACCCTTCTTGGGTGTTTATTACCCTTTCCCTGGATGTTGGCCTCGCCCTCAAGCCTGTGCCCTCTGCCTATCTCGCTATCTATAAGGAGGACTTCTGTCCTCGGGCAGTTGTGGAGCAACTGGGAAAATTTGTTGGGAATGCCCTCTACATCGCGTTCATTGTACTGCTTTCATTGTATTTCGACGGACCCTTGGCGACGGATCCGCGGAAGCCAAAGTTTGACCTCTTTATTGCCTTCCTGCCTGTTTTTGTGCTTCTTCTTTTCACTTTTTTCAAGACTATCTTTCTGTATTACCAAACCCGCAACAGGGCCTACATTTTTTTTCTGGCGATTTCTGCGCTAGTCATTTTACTCCCCATGTGTATGTTTATATGGGAATTTAGTTGGTACTATGCAGTTTCCAATCGGGGCAGAATGTTTCGTCCATCTTTAACTCAGACGTGTTTTATCATTCCATGTTTTTTCTTGCTTTTTTCCTTGTACGTTGCGTTCTCCTCGGTTATGTTGTTGGCTTCTTACTAATAATTGACGTCTATTATGAGGTCTCTGACGTATTAATGGGGAAAAGTGAAGCTGCAGCGGAGGTCCTCCCTCCTTTGCCTTTTGCGTGTAGTATGTGGACTTCTGTTTCCGTCTTCACAAGGTGGTGTTGCTATGCACCACTTCATTTGGGGCTCAGGAAACGGAGGCGGACGGTGCGTGTATGTCGATCACTCTCATTAACGGGAATGCTTCAATGCCGCGTTCTTTTTTTTTTTTCTTGGGGGGTGGGGGGTGTGAGGGCTCGGCTCGGCGTACTGCGAATAGGTTGTGTTTGGGTCTTAGGGGGGTGATGGAGTTTTGTCCCTCTTTGGGCCTGCCACTCTGCCGGCACTTGGGTGTTGGGGACGAGGAGAACCAAGGGGGCCGCCCATTCGCAGGCGACGCGCGGGCATAAATTTTGAAAGCCATTTGGGCGTTTTGTTTATTGTTTTTCAAAGCGCAACGTCTGTTTGTGGATTGGGCAGCTTCCATGGATTGCCGCTGTTGTTGTTGTTTTTATTTTGTCTGTGTGTGTGTGTGTGCTTTGTTTTTGTTTTTGCTTTTCGCCTCTTTGCAGTTCCCCCCTCCATGCGCTGCGATTTGTGCGCGTGCATGTCGCCGGGTGCCTGCAGGGGGGCCGCCACGGCCGTCAGGTGTAACGACGGCAGTGCGAATGAGATGTGATGCGGGTGTGTGTGCGCGGCATTGGAATCGTCCGGGAAGGCTCCGTCTTCTCTCGGCGAAGCGGAGTCAGGCCGCGCCCGTCGCCGGACTCTTCTGAGAGACGGGCGTGTGACGGTGAAGGCCTTAACAAACGCCACTCGCGATCGAAAGGGAAGCAAAATAGAACAAAAAAGAGCTAACGGAGTGACGTGAAACTCTTATTAGTTACTTATCCGCGTAGCGTATCTCCGCGTCTCCTGTCCGTGCACACACGCAGGCACACACGCGCAGGTGTATGTATATATATATACGTACGCTTTCTTATTCTTCACCTATCAGCATATGTGCGTCCGTGATTGCTTCTCTTTCTTTCTTCTTATGTGGTTGTTGGAGGGGTTGCAGAGGGAGTTGAAAACCGCTCTTTCTTCTGCGGAGACTTTTACACACGGGCTCCACGCCTCACGGGCGGGAAAGGGAGGGAGAAGGCCAATGTGGAGCCAAAAGCTCGGTGGCGGCGCGCTCGCCGTGTCTCTTCTCCATCAGCAGCGGAGGCACCAGTCCCAATATCAGCAGCAGGATGAAGGCAAAACGGCGCAGCACTCCTGTGTCGATGAGTCGAATGGCGAAAGCACATCAGTGCGGAGCCGGCGAAGTCCGGCCTCAACATATACTGGTGTGCGTGTCAAGTCGTACGTTTTATCCCCCGTCTTTGAGGAGCATCATTCACTCTGGCAGTGGCGGACGGTGGTGTGGCGAGAAAAATTCCACGCCGTGCCTTTTTTTCTTCACTGTGCTCCGGGAGTTCCCTTGCGGCATCCATTTCTTCATCACACACTTGTCGAGCATATCACCAGATCATCTGCGAAGGGGCGGGTGCGAGCAGCCGAGCCACCCACGCCGAGGCCTGGGGCTGGCGCGAAGCAGCGATGTGCGCAGCTGCTGGTGCCGTCACCGATCGGAATGCTCGCCGCAGCGGCCTCCGGGGCTTCCGACTGTCACCCCACCGCTGAGTGGGTTGATGGGCTATTTTGTTTTTTGGAACGGGGCGCGGCGCAGACGGTGGGGACGCCAAGCCCTTCCTACTCCTCCTCCACATATACAGACGTCTTCAAGTGCAGCGGCGCGAAACTCCCCTTCCCGGGAGGAGAAAAACCCCCCATGGACCACGAAGGCGGCGATACCGTCTCCACGGACCCATGTGAAAGTAAGGTGGCTGAGAACGTGGTCCAACACCGCACGCACCGCGTTTGGCACGCCAGCGGGAGTGTTCCGTTGGAACATCGAAACGTCATCGGTTGTGGTTTGGCTGAAGTGGTGCTGGCCATTGATCGTTATGCGGCGATGTTGGCGCGGCGTGAAATCACCTACGCAAAGGCCTGCTGGGCCGTGCTTGTGGACAGCAAAGCCGATGTGCAGCCGCATTTACGCTCTAGCGCGGTGGCCATCGAGGAGGAACTCCTCGCGGCGACGGCGGCACATGAAGCCATGACTGCCGCAATGGGCGATCCCGTGCGACGGCCACTTCTCAGACTGGCGGATTACCCTGCCCTCGCCCGCTGGTAGCGGCTCCGCTTCATTGCCAGGGCTGTTGCTGTGCCTCTTCATTTTGTCTATTGTCACAACTCGTATTGTTTCGTTTTGGGTAATTTTTTTGTTGTTATTTTTTTTGTTTTCTACTTTATTCTCTTGTTTCTTTGATCTTTTTATTTTTTGCCTCTCACATGGAATTGAACGGAATGAGGGAGGCTTCTTCCTTCACGCTGCTGCCGCCGCCGGCGGTGCCGTGACAACCACCGCGGGCGCGTCGTTCCCCTTCACTCGCCTCTTCTTGTTTTCCGTCGCGCCGGCTTCTGTTTTGTATATTTCTTTCGCAACACACACGCACGCACCATTTCCATTAGCAAGTAAAAGGAGAAACTAAAATAAAAATAGGAAGTAACTATAAGAAAAGGAACAAGAGCAAGGTTTGGTTTGGTTTTTCTCTTCATTTTGCGCAAAGTAAGACCCCACACACCACAGTC